AATGTAAAGAAGTGCAAACTCCCCCCTCCCCAATAATCTGCTTTGAAAGTCTTGTTACAGAGAGAATAACATCTGGCTTGTTTTAGTATGTGACATACAGAATCACAGTCATGAACCAGCAAAATATCAAGAAGTTTTAGAAATCTGGAAACTTTTTAAAAAGATTTTGATACAAAGAGGAAATGGGGAGGAGGATGGCAGCAAAAAATTCAATGAAAACATACATTTTTTTTCACTCCAATATCAAAAAAGCAAAGTTCTTGGTGAACACATAAAATTCTATAAAACTACCAGCCATCTGTGTTAAGTTCCTTTATTCTCTCTCCATTTTTAAAGTCGCATTAAAAAGGATAAAAAGTGCACAGACACCCTTATAAGGCACAAACAGATTTTCAGACTGTTTTTTTTTAAAAAGAATATCAATAACAAGACCAAAATTGCTAAATAACTTCCATTCTTAAATGTTGTCTGTCAGAATTTAGAGAATTCCTTACGAGACTTGAATAAGTAAAGCTGCATGTCCCTTAATGTTCTTTTCCCATCAGCTTCACAGTCCCTGGCTGTGGACTTTTTCATTCTGCCCTCTTCCCAGATGCTGCTCCTTTGGGGAAGTCCATTCTAACAGGAAAATTTAAGACAGTGCATGTCTCCTCCCCCCTCCACCCCACACAAGTGCCTCAGCCTGTAAACATCTTCCTAAAATACAGCTGTGGCAACAGCTAATAAACAGTGGCAGTTGACAGTGCTCACTTTGAGCAAGCCCAAAGATACAGGCCAAATGTTCTGGTAGGCTTTGTTTGATATAATGGCAGCTGGTGGCATTACACTGGTGTAAGAGCTCTCTTAAGAACACCAAACACCCATGGGCTCTTGGGACAGTTAGCCCCGAATAGTGCAGAACATTAGCAATAGGGATATTCTGAGAGGTAGTGATTAGCACCAAGGAAGGGGGACCATTTATTGCCAGGCTTTCTTAGAATTCGGTCGCATCCGCAAAACTCTTTTAAGACTACTCACTTCTTCCTGGTAAGCTTTTATAACCACTTCTCCTTTTGAGGCTCAGGAAACTGACTGCAACAAAAGCTGCCACAAAGAAATCCCATTCAAATGCATTCTGCTTTTCGACAAGTGGCATACTAGATAAGGAGGGCAGGATTAAGATGTTGGGAAAATATTCTTATTCATGCCTGTGGGCATTAAGCGGCAGAGGATTGCGGTCACACACACTTAGAAAACCTGTGACAGCAAGCAGAGGAGTCTCTTGGAACTTGCCAATTCAATGCCAATTAGCAGGCAGAAGCTTCCAGAAAGTTAAGGAACAGAAATTGTGTTGGCTTGACCTAGAAAGTTTCACGCTGAGCAAAACATTTTTGGTTCTCAGAATTAGTTCAACCCGCTGAAACTATCAAGAACAGCTTATGTGAACGCAGGTCAGCTTTTAGGCACAGACCTTTATGGCATGTTTTGGCTCCACTGATGGTCCTATCAAGCACTAAAGCCTGTTGTATGATACATAATCAACTTCTGGTTTGAATTAGCCCTTTCTCTGGATTTAAACACAGACTTAATATGGATTTTGCATCTAATTGCCTAGGATTTGTTCACCATGCAGTTGAAATGCCAGTATCTCTCAAGTCAAGTTCCTCCCCTCTGTAGTGTTGACCCTGTTCAACTACCACCAGAGGCAAGACAAGTCTACCACGTGGAGGTTCACGAGAATAAGGTGATACTGTTAACCCACGTGCTGAAATTGATGCAAGCCTCTAGAATTCTAGGAAGCTGCGCTGCTTTATTTGCTTTACACTGCTGCTTACACCAGGTCACCATCTTCTAAAACTTAGTATTATTTGCATTGTTAAAAGAATTCTGCCTTGCTGGTAATGACAGGGAGGTCCCTTGCTGGCTTGTGAATTCTGTACAAAAGCCAGAATTAAAAGCTACAATGCTTATGGACACTTGTGACCTCCAGTGACAGTAACGTATCTCACCACAAGGTAAATGCATCCTGTGTGGGCAGATAATGGGTGTCCAATAACTGACTATGCTGTGACAATGTAGTATTTGTAATAACTGTGACCACAACTCAAGTCTCCATAAATAAATTAGGACATTCAAAAGTTTTGCAAAATTTTTGGCAGTTTCAATGTTTTGGCCCACTTTAAAATAAACATGTTCCTGTTGATCCAAGTCATTATTAAAGACACCTGGAAGAGCGATACTCATTTGTCTGACAATGCACTGAAGTGCCTTCCTTTAAGTAATCCATAACAAGAGCAAACTACAATTTAAGACCAAGGATTGCTCCACTGGGATTCAGCAACAATTATCATTTTAATTATCCTAATACAGTGGACCCTCTACTTACGGAATTAATCCGTATTGGAACGGTGGCTGAAGGTCAAAAAGTCTGTAGGTCGAGTCCCCATTGACCTACAATGCACTGAAAACCGATTAATCCTGTAACGGGCTGTTTTCCATTTCTGTTCCATTTTTGGTTTTTTTCTGGTCTATAGGTCGATTCTCTGGCTGCAATTCAAACCTAAATTTTGCGGCCAGAGAATTCTGTAACTCGAAAAGTCTGTAAGTCGAGCCGTCTGTAAGTCGAGGGTCCACTGTATATGTTGGGAGGCAAATTCTGCCAAATATGGCCCTTTAAGAAATTTCTGGCATGTTTGGCTGGTAATTTTCTCTTACAAAAAATGGAGGAAGAAACTAGAGGAGCAACTAGCCTTGAACTTGATTCTAACCAACTTGGTGGGAAAAGTGTCAGTAAGAGAAATTCAGGTGTGTGTGACCATTTTCTACTTGAGTTCTTTATTTCAAAGAAAACAAAAGCAGAGTTTAGCGGCACATATATGCTGCATTTTAGAAAAGCAAATTTTAATAAGCTCAGAAGCAATGATAAGTAAGGTCCCATGGTAGCCAATCCGAACAGGAAAAGGATAGGTGGGAGTTTCTTAAAAAGGAAATTCTACAAGCACAGCTACAAGCCCAAGGGGGAAAAAAGGTGGAAGACGGGGGGGGGGGCAGATTGATGTGGTTTCACAAAAAGCTCAGAGAGGATCTGAAAAAAAAGGACACATAGAAAGTGGAAGGAAGGCCAGATCACAAATGAGAAGTAGAGACAAGTAGCAAAGAATTGCAGGGATGGCATTAGGAAGGCAACAGCTGAGATTAGCAAGAGATTCTGAAAGTAATTTTAAAAGCATTCTTCAGATAGTGTGTAGCAAAAGAGACAAAAGAAATAGTGACTCTCTACTCAACTGAGATGGAAAAATGGTAACAGATGACGAAGAAAAGGCAGAAGAGTTCTGTTCCTACTTTTGCTTAGCCGTTTCCCACAAGACAGTCTATGACTCTCCAGGCAAATGTGCAGAATAAGTGAAGGGAACAGAATTGCAGCTTGTGACTGAGAAACAAATCGTCAAGGAATACCTTATTTTTTTGAATGCGTTCATATCTCCAGGGACGCATAATCAGCACCCAAGAGTGTTGAAGGAACTGACTAAAGAACTCTCAGAACTATTACTTTCTTGGAATCATGGAGGACGGGTGAAATACCTGATGATGAAAGGAGGGCTAATGCCCCTATCTTCAAAAAAGCAAAAAGGAGGATCCTGGGAACTATAGACCAATCAGCCTGACATCATTCCCAGGGAAATTCTGGAGCAGATTATAAAACGAGCATTCTGCAAGTACCTTGAAAACAATTCAGTAATAACTAGAAGCCAAGATGAACTCATCAAAAACAAACCCTGCCAGACTGATCTTATTTTTCGATTGGGTAACCTCTATGGTGGATGGTGGGAATGCTGTAGATGTAATATACCTTTACTTCAGCAAAGCTTTTGACAAAGTGTCCCATGGTATTCTGATTACCAAGCTGATTAGGTATGGGCTGGATAGAGCAACTACCAGGTGGATACACAGTTGGTTACATGATCGTATTCAGACAGTGCTTATCATAGCTCCTTATCAAACTTGGAGGAGGTAACGTGGGTAACAAGGCTCTGTTCTGATCCCAGTTCTCCTTAATGTTTTTAATAATAACTTGGATTAGGGGGTGCAGGGAACACTTATCAAATTTTTGGATGACACAAAACAGGACAGAATAAATAATATCCTTAAAGACAAAAACAACATTGAAAAATATCCTGATAGGCTTGAACACTGGGCTGAAAAACAACAGAATGAAAATTTAAAAAGCAAAAAAGCAAAGTGTACTGTTTATATACCACCCCACAGCACTTAAAGCACTCTCTGGGAGTTTAGTTATGCAGGCTACACATTGCCACCCCCCACCCCAGCAAGCTGGGTACTCATTTCACCAACCTCGGAAGGATAGAAGGCTGAGTCAACCTTGAGCCGGCTACCTGGGATTGGACTCTGGGCTGTGAGCACAGTTTTGGCTGCAGTACAGCAGTTTAACCATTGTGCCATGAGGCTCATCAACAGGGATAAGTGCAGAGTTCTACACCTGGGGCGGGAGGAGACCCAAATGCACAGTTACAAGACAGGAGATACATACTTGTGTCAGTAATACTAGAAGCAAGAAGGGTCTTGGAATTGTTGTAGAACACAAGCTGAGCATGAATCAACAGTGTGATGTTTTAAAAAAAGCAAATGCCATTTTAAACTGCATTAACAGAAGTATAGTCTCTAGATCCCATGAAGTACTAGTTGCCCTCTATTTGGCACTGGTAAGGCCTCATATTGAGTACTATGTCCAGTTTTGGACACAACACTTTAAGAAGGATGGCAGTAAACTGGAACATGTCCAGAGAAGGGCAACAAGGATGATCAGGGGGTTCGAAATGAATTCCTAGGGAGAAAGACTGGGGTGTGTGTGAATGAGCATATTTAGCTTTGAGAAAAGAAGGCTAAGGGAAGATATAATTGTACTTTTCAAATACTTAGAATACCGTCATACAGAAGAGGGGCTGAATCTGTTCTTGATCATTCCAAATTGCAGAACACATTAAAATAGGCTCAAGTTACAGGAACCCAGATTTAGCCTGAATATCAGGAAAAATTTCTTAACTGTTAGAGCAGTATGACAATGGAACCAGTTACTTCGGGAGATGCTGAGCGCTCCAATACTGGAAGCATTCAAGATAAAATTGGACAACCATTTGTCATGTCTGCTTTGATTTATATTCCTGCATTGAGCAGAGGGTTGGACTTGATTGCCTTATAGGCCCCTTCCAACACAGTTGTTCTAAGATTCTATTGATTCATAGGGCAGCCTGTGAACAGAGTGAGCACTTCACTGGCATTCCTTTCACAGGAGATTAAAATAATAAAACAACACCAACTAACCAGAGACCAAGCTAGAACAATACTAGGAAGCCCATGAAATACAACTGCATGAGTAAAATGGAATGGATGAACATCAGAAAGCTAGTCTGTGCTCCACTAAATGTGGCGTGTGTTGTGGAAAAATGGATTTATCCCACTGAGACCACTGCAACCGTGCAAGTTTAATTATATTCTCTGCCTACCAAGGGATCGGCATGCCTTACCTGTTATGGCCAAAGTTTGCACTTAGTTTACATCTCCTATATAAATCACAAAGCCTCAGAGTATACTACACGAAAGAGGGGAGAGGAAACCTGCCATCTTCAAGCTACTGAAGGCATAAAGGCTGAGCTGTGAAGGGAAAAACCACAGCAACTTTGGTATCAAGGCTGAGATCAGAATGCTAGCACAGCCATGATAGGAGATGAGGGTTTGAGAGATCCTACAATCTTCTCCAGCATGATACCTGATATGGTAAGATCACAAATCAGCTGCAATGCAAGGATTTCCAGCTTTCGAGAGCATCTGCTGCATGCTGGAGTTGACTCTCAGGGTAGGCACAGTTGTTGTATTTCCATCTGATTTGACAACATCTCTTCCTAGCAGACTTTTGTGGAGCAGGAGAGAGCAGGCTGCTGCTGTTGTGAGAGAGCAACAGGGTTTTGCCTTAACAAGTCCTGATTAAGAAAAGAAAACCAGCAAATTTGCCAAGCATATTTTTTTTAATTGCTTGCATGGCACCTCTTCCCTAAAGGCCAAGTTCATTTCACCTTACTATCCAGACCTCCGAAGCTCCAAGCTGCCTAATACCAACCGAAGTTCATTTGTCTTTTAAGTTCAAGCATCTAATAATAGCTTGCAAATCCTTTTTCCAACAAACAATGCCAAGTGAAAAGCTTTTTAAATTTCAATAAGATGCCTCTATTGTGGAACAGAAGACAACTTCCTGTAGAGGAAGAAATGAGAGATCCCACATGGCTGCATACTTTGTTGACAGAAACTGGGGGGAACAATGGAGGAAAACATCCATCACTAGCATTTCACAAATCACAAGTCAGGAAACTGCAGAGGCTTGAAATGCTAAATTCTCCATCAGCCTCCCTCTGCTGCTGTCTGCTCCAAAGTATACAATGCCCCTCTTCTACATGCTGAGACATATGGCTTTCAATAAACCCAAATCGTTGTCGCGTCAAAATGTGCTCCGCAGTTGCTTACTGCAACAGCTGGGAGCTTTGAGTTGTGACTCAGAGAAGAGGCAGTTGCTCCTCTCAGAAGATGTTTACTTTTGGTGCTCAGAAGACATTTATAGCTTTTTGCTTCTCTCTCTGACAGACCAGACTGGTTTACCCACGCAAGCATCTTGCACCTGGTTCCCAAGCTAAGACAGCACCTCAAAATGTGGAGGACTGAACAGGTCGCGCTGGAGTAAGCCACCCCTTTTCTAGGATGTTTTGAAATGTAATTTATGTCCCTGTACTCTTGCGCTTGACTTACAACTGGGAAAAAAATGCATTGGAATGAGAAAATGCCATCCAGAATTTCCTGCCCTCTCAACCCTTTCCAGAAAATGACAGGACAAGTTTCAAGCCCTGGTGCATCAGTTGACATCTGCAGAAAGCAGATTAAAACACCTTTGCCCCACTTGCAGCTGCAGGAGGAGCTGCCTAATATGTTAAGGTTCTTCCGCTGTGAGAAGAGGATTTCCAAGACTCTTAAAAAAAAAAAAAAAGGCCAAACGACTGAATTCTTCAGTACTCTTCCCAAAATGGGGTAGCTGTATGTTTTAATGAGAACACCCAATCCTTTTTGAGATGAACAGAGCAAGGGTTGTTGTTCCCTCCACCTCCCCCCGCTGCACCCACCCCTTTTTAACCCCTTAGAGCAGCATCTTTACATTGCCCTCCACAGCTGTACTTTCAGCCTCTACAAGGCCCAGAGCGTTTCCTCATTCACTTAATTATCCCTGATTTGTTTCCACTGGTCAAAACATGGAAATATAGACAAGAGAGCTACTCAGTAACCACTGACCAGCACAATAACCCAGAAGCAAGGACAGTAAGGTGTGACAATTGCTAACAACATTTTTCCTCCTGCCACTCACCATTTGCACCCCAAGAAGGGGGTAGGTGAGGAGAGGCTATGGACGGTAGATTTTAATAATGTCTTTGATGACCCGTCGGCAGATTGGGCAGCAGGCATTGAGTTGCTTCTTCAGCTTAAGACCACAGGTGTTGCAGAGGCACATGTGTCCGCAGGTGTAGATCACCACATCCACCTCATTGTCAAAGCAGACGGTACACTCCCCGTTCTTGCTGCTCACAGGCTCTGGAGGCGGGAACACTGGAGACACCGGGGGGCTCAGGGGAGAGCTTGGAGCAGTCACTAGAAGGCATTGAGGGGAAAAAAAGTCTCTCAGAAAGACTACTTCCTCTCACACTTGGGCTTCTCCAAGTGGAAACAGACCAGAGATCTCCTAAGGCAGTGGTCCCCAACCTTGGGCCTCCAGATGTTCTTGGGCTTCAACTCCCAGAAATCCTGGCCAGCACAGGTGGTGGTGAAGGCTTCTGGGAGTTGTAGTCCAATAACATCTGGAGGCCCAAGGTTTGGGGACCACTGTTCTAAGGAGCTCAGAATCTCACTGTTTCTGGTGCCTATTCTAAATTTAAAAAAAATTTACTAACTCAGATCTTTATAAAATCAATCAAATACTGTACTTTTTCAAAGAAGCAATAATTTGGACAAAGTGTGTGGATCCTGTGGGAAAACAAGCTAACCTATTACTGCTCTCTTAAAAACTACTATCTGTTTCCAGCCTCAGACAATCGACATATACAGAAGATTTTTAACACTGTGCAGTCTCCAGTTTGATGCTGATGGGGAATGATGGCTCTGTGTAATGATTTCTCTCTACTGTGGCTGTAGCACAAACAGGAGCTCTTCATATTGTGTTTCTACCTGCCCAGGTAAGCAATGGTGTCAATGTCTATCACTTTCTGAAAACAGTAATACTAAAGTAAAGACATTCTTTACATGGCCATTCTAGAAGGATTCTACCCTCACCTGCCAATATCACATGATTTGTATGCAGCAGCATATACATGTTTTCATGGACTCTAATTTCCTTCTTCATTCATTTGTTAATGTGTTACAATGAATGAGATTGGTGGCTTTTGGTATTTAACCTAGAATTACACTTTGTATCATTTAAGGGTCTGATATTTTTACTTGCTAATAAAGAATTGAGAAAGTATTGGAGCTGGAAAGTTTGTTCCAGTTCATTTCTTGGCTGAACAGGTGTTCAGCACCTCCCAGCCCCACCTTCTCTGGTGGGCACCCATTCAGAAGCAGGGCCCCAGCTTCCCTGCCCCACCTCCTCTGGGCACTGGCTCTGAGTGGGCGCCTGCCAGAGGAGGCAGGGCTGGGAAGTGCTGAACAACTACTGTTCAGCTGAGAAACGGACTGACACAAGCCACCAGTTTGTGGCCATCTGTATTCTGAACCAATTTTGACTGGGCTCTGAATTAGTTTCATTTTGTAATTTATAAATATGTCCAGCTTCTTCTGGGTTCTCAACACCAAATGCCCTCTCCCCTTTGTCTCCCCACCCCAACCACAATTCTTTTGCATTGGACTCTCTCTGTCCCCGCCCCAACGCTTATCAACTTTCTACCAGGGTTAGAAACCTTGAAGCCATATCCTATAGACTTCCTATGATGGAACTAGTTTGGCTGCTTTAGGGTTTTTTTTTCCTTTGCTTTCATTTCCTCTTTTTTAAAAAAAGGGATTGTACATCATCTTTTTCATGACTCTCTGTGTGTATTAAAGCCCAGCAGTGCACTAACCGAAGAAAATGTGGGCACTCCTGTCTCACAGTAAGAAACATGGGAGGTTCTGACACACACAACCTCCATCAACTGTAACATGTTTCCTTCCAGACAGAGTTAAAACTCAGGGTGTAAGGCATGACTTCTGTTTTTGACTAGGGCACTGGGCGTGTATATTCCATTAAAAAAAGCACAGAGATAAGCAAAGACTCTCTTACCTAGGGACGATTCAGAAGCAGATGAAGACCTGTTCACACTGAAAGCCATATCTGAATCACTGTCATACTGGGAGCCACCAGGAGATCCTGAGGGGGAGACAGTCACCGGGCTGGACTGCACTGTCCCTGAAAATACAAAGACAGGTTGAGTTCAACTTCAGGGACAGGCAGGAGTCTCTTGCACATTGAGTCCTGAGTTGAATGTACCCATGTCAACAGCACCCACTTAAGAGATTCCTGTGGTCCCAGCTCTGCATTAATTAAGTGCTCTGTTTCAGGTCCTTCTGTGCCTCAACAGTTCATACCACAGATGCTACAATCTGGCTGGCAATGCCTGAGTATGTTGCCTAGAAGCCAGATGAAAAATGAGAACAAAAAAAAGGAGAACCAAATTGTTGTGGCACCTTAAAGACTAACTGCTGTATTTTAATGTGAACAATCATGGATCAAGTCCGCTTCCTCAGTTGTCTGTGCCTCTGAGTCCATGGTTCCTCGCACAACTGCTGAAGTGCATTTGATCCATGAAAGCTGACATTAAAATATAGCAGTTAGTTTTTAAGGTGCCACAATGGTTTTTTTGTCTGTTTTCACCTAATATGTTTGCATAGGCTAACATAGCTACTCTTTTGAAAACTGCCTAGGTGGAAAGCCTAGATTGCCTTCTCAAGTTAACCTGACATTTTATCTAGTAAATGCGGCTGCAGTAATGAGGCTGATCACCTACATCTTCTACAGAAGCATCAACATCCATTCACAAAGGAACTTCCAGAGAAGCAGGACTCCAAAATGGAAAAGAGAACATTCATTAAAATACATGCTCCCTCTTCCTAGCTACCAGAGTAGAGCCCAATTAAAAAGACATGCTTGTCAATAGTGATCAGCCCTGCTAGCTGAATGGAGCCCCCACCTCCACCTGATACAGTATACTGTTTCAATGACACATACTAGAGATAGAGCATAGTATGGTCATCGTCCTGATGCTCAGTACAGGCGTCTGGTTGGCAATGCTAGGAAAGACAATATACTCAAAAGGGAGACTCACGAGTGAGCGTGCAAGGCAATTCTTCCTTACATTCTGAGTTATAGTAATTCAGTCTGATGCCACCTTTCATCCAGGAGCATGACACTCAAATGATCTAGCCATGAACTATGGGAAATCGGTCATGCAATGCTGGTGTTATAGATCATCTTTGCAGCTGGGCTAAAACCACTGCATGTGCCTGTAGCTGTTTAACAATCATCCTGTGCTCTTGTCAGATATGAGTAGGACCCCCTGCCCTCCACCCCAGACCATTGCATGTCCCTGTTGGGCCCAGGCAGACAGCACAGACCTCACACATGCTTTCAGTTTATAAAAGGAATACAGGCAAACACAGCAGAGATCACTGGCTCAGTGCAGCTTGACACAGACAACCAGGCTTCGGCTTCAGCAAGGCCAAGGCAAGCCAATGTTCTTCCTGTGGAGGCTTTAATCAGACAAGAAAATCCAAATCTTATAGATTGGCAAAGCCTTGCTAAAACCAACAGGAATGTCTGTGTGTCTTGGACTTTGTTTTATACCTTTGGTCTATATAGGTGGGATAGAAATCTAATTAATCAATCAATTCACTTAGCTAATTTCGAACTGCACTTACCCAATATTTTGAGCTGATTAATTACACCATGTATGGTGAAGAAAACCCACAGAGACTGTGAGGTATCCACACACATCAGCATCCCACGGCTTGTTCCATTTATTCCATGGTGTACTTCTCCATTTGGCAAGACCACAAAGTTGAGGATGTCACCATTGTTGAGGACAGGAAATCCTCGGCAAACCACCCAGTACTCCTTGCGATCTAGGAGGAAGTCTGGATCCGCTGGGAGCTCATTTGTCCGTAAAGTACCCGGATCACAGGAAGTGATGCCAAATGTCAGGGCCCCATAATAAGGCAGCCCCAAGTGTCCGACTTCCACAAAGAGATTTTCACCGATATGCAACGGTCGGTCAGAAAACATCAAGGTCCTATTGCTCTCTTGCCAGTTGGTACAGGCAGACATCCGGTCCTGAGAAAAGTTTATGTCAGGTCCCCGGGTAGGGTGGAAACGCAGGTCGGTATCTAGAAAGGCAGGCACCACTTGGGCAAGCTGCCGCCTGGACGGGCAGCATGGGATGGTACGGTTATCTGCTGGCAGCCCAGGCATACGAGTCAAGTTCAGATTGGCAATTTTGGCCACCACCTGGTTGTTTTCTAATTCATTGTTGCTGAAGTTGGCTGAATCATGGCTGCTCTGGGGAAGGCAAGTGCTGAGGCGCGCATTGCTGAGACGGGTGGAAGTCATCGTTTCTGCAAACATGCTGTCTGCAAGGCAATGATGAAGACAAGCTGTATTAGATGCAAACTCGTACCGTTATACAGAAAAGAGGTATTCGTGCACTGGCTGGACAGGAGTCTTTTAGTCAGCTGCTCTTCCCCACAACTAAACATCAACTCCAGTACTGATTTGGGGGGAGGGGGCGCCTGCAGTTGGACTTCTCTGGGAGATGCTAGGTGGGGGAGGGAGAGACTGTTTTTACTCATCCACCCATGTTCCCATCATTTCATTTTTTATTTTTTTATTTTTTGCGGTGAGTAGGGTGAAGTAAGACAAATCAGTGTGGAAGCACAAGCAAAGAACAGGATTGCCATTAAACAGATAAAGCCCCACCCTGTGGATGTCTCATCAATGCCCCCACAATTCAGTTAACAAGAACATGTCACACAATTCACTAAGGCCCTGTGCTGGAGTCCTCAGTCTGGCCAGTTCCAGAGGAAGAAACCTGTTTCTGCTTTCTGCTCTTTCTCTCTGTGTCTCTCACAACTTCCCACCGAAATCGGAGTGAGCCAATTTTGCAGCTTCGACCTACCGCATGAAAAGAGAATGCATTGCTTCCCACATCCCCATAGCTCTCCTTCCCTTGTCCTTGCCAATTTAAATCACGTAAGAGAGTCTGGAAAGGGGACACACTTAATCACCACAGGTACCATTAATTTAAAATTGTGTAATATCCTGCATGTTAAAACAGAGGAGTGACCTTTTCAAGAATTATGGAGCACATTGGTCTCTTTGTTACTCGCAGATCATGTGAGGAGGCAACAGCCTCTCTCACAGTACGTATGATGTTGGCTAGCATCAGATGTCAAGAAAACCCAGTCCCCAAAGCCGTAAAAATTAGAAGCAGACTGTTCCATGTTAGTGCTCCCAAGAGCCAATAACAAGAAGTGGATGGGCAGTTTCAGATAAAAACACCCAATTAAGACATTTGAATTTCCACAGCTTTTCTCTTGCAAAAGCTTAGATCTCAAAACTCCTCCCTGAACAGGCTCCCACTTTTAATACTAGGCAAAAGGACTACAGCTCACAGGGTTTCTAGGTG